AAGAATTAGGACAGAAAAATAGCAAAAAAAATATTCATCTCTCCCTCTCTCTTTCTCACACACACATGTACTTGTTTACAAGCCATTTGTAAATGTAGGAAACCTATATTTGCCTGCTTCTTAATAAATGAAATTTCTGTAAACACAGTGAAATCAATGCTTTTATTTTCATTGGTTTAAGGTGCTATTTGGATGCTGTATAATTTGGTAGGAAAATATAAAATGTAAACAATATTGCAGGATAAATACAATGGCTTTCCAGTGTTACCCTGTTTGTTTAATGAAGAACAAACTTGATAATGCAAAATCCTTTAAGCTTTGAGTTAGGAATAAGTAGAAAAAAGCAAATAGGAAAATATTTAATAATCAATCACACTGATCAAGAAGTAGAACCAATGTTGGGCTGCATACATGAGGCAGGCTGTGAATAAAGGAACAGCTTTGAATTTTTAGTGATGTTAGGCTGGCAGTAAATTCAGAGTAACTATCAATATTGTGTTTTAGTAGTTGCAGAACCGGAACAACTTTTCCTCACCTGGGAAGCCAAACAGCTGGGCCTGGTAAATGGGAGACCACTAGGGAGTATCAGGATTATAGACTGTAATGGGAAGTTAAGAAGCATACCAGAACAAGTATATTGTTACCAAGAACTCAAGCTTGATAGAGACTTTGCATTTATTTCCACGGAGCATACAGTATCATTTGTGGAAGTTGCTGTGACAAAGTTATGGTAGTGGCCTCTAGCAACAGTAGCTTTCAAAGGGGATTGGACAAATTGGCCATATAAAACCTCCATGGTCAACATGGTGTGCCACCAAATACTACACGGTGGGAGGCAACAATATCTCCTGCTTATGGGCTTTCTGGAGTAATTGGCAGTTGATGCTGAACCAGATTAACTTTTTGGTGTGCCTAGCAGATCTCCATCTGCTGCATTCCCCTATGAAGTCCTTTGGAATTTCCCCTAATTTTATAATAAAGGCATTTCACTGACCTTGGGAGATGGTATGAAATTCTCTGACTCTTGAGAATGAAAATGGATATTTCTAAGATATTGCAGAAAAATAACAGATAGACATCTTTGTGGTATCAAATAAGTGATTAGTAAACCAGGTATTGAACAAAGTATATATCCCATGTGGCATTTTTCAGTTACACTGACCATCAGGAGGCACCGTGTGATTGGTTTCCTCCTTGGGGGAGTATGACATACATAACATTTCTATCTTCCTGCTCTGAGAGCTTAAGGGAACTATAGACTGTATATACCATTCTGAGAGCATCCATTAAACCAAGAATCCATAGGGGAAAAAATCAAGGGACTAGGGAGGTCCCACTTTAACATACTCACTGATAAATGAAGGTCATGGTCATGGTATACAGAGTGAGGTTCCAAAACACACTGCCCACTGCAATCACACCTGTATACTCTGGATCTGTGAGAAGATTGCATTAGAAGCTTGACGGGTACAGAGCACGACATGTTCACCTTCTCAAAACACCCCAGAAAATTCCATCAGAGATGGCACAGTGTCTGTGTATGTTCAAAAACTAGGTTTATGTTTTTCTACCAAATAGACACCAATTTGATAGCTACATATGTGGATGCAGATACGCTGGTCTATGACCATAAAAAAGATTTGATTTGATTTGATGTAGCTGCAGAAATTTTGGATTCCAGTCTCTTGTGTAAAATGTAATATTGAGTCCTCGGCCTCATAACTAAAAAACTTGCTGTTAAGAGGATTTACGATGCAAGCTGTCAGTTGATTTCTGGTGAAGATATGTCTCAGCCAGCTGTGCCCACTTCTGAAGACTTCATGTCCCTGGGCGTGAGTTGATGGAGAGTGCTGCTTACATATTGATTTAAGAAAGAATGGCCCTGCATGTCAATGAAATACCATGGAGGATTCTGAATTTCTGGCTCTTAGTTTTTAGGCTGTCTGCTGCCAAACACCATTATGGTGACATTAAAAAAATAAAATATACCTCTGCCTTCATCTGTCTCTGGGGCTTTTTAATTCTGCATGATAAAGATAACATGAGTTTGTTAAATCAAATCTATTTTGCTCAGAGAAGAAACACTAAGCAGGTTACATACTGACAGCTTTCACATAATTAAAAGGATATAAAGAAACAAGAGAATAAATGTTTACTATCCAAGAGAGGGCAATTAAAACTGGTTTTAAATTCCAGACAGGTAGATTTAATTAACCTGCAAGAGAACCTTCTAGAATTATGTGCTGTGCAAGGGATCAGAGAATCAGATTGCAGTACAGCAGTCAAAGAATTTGCCTAGCAGAGCTTTTGCGGTATTATTTTTCCTAGGAAGCTTCAGGGAAATCTTTACATTAATACCATCCAGGAGATAGAGTTGCAGAGTTGACATAACATAAATGCATTCAAACTAAATGAGGAGTGGTAATTGCTAATCAGTGAAACAATAGCCTCAGTAGTTGTGCAGTCGTTTTTTTCATTCATTGGAGGCACCAATTAAGCTTCTCAGGTCCAGAATGCACTTCGTTAATACTGGCTTCCCTAATATGCAAACCAGTCTGATTTCATGTGCAAATCTTTGTCGAGTCTTGGATTTGGACCAAACCCTAGGCGTACCCATCCATATGCATGTTTATGCAGAAGTCGTGCTTCAACAAACTCCCAGACTAGTTATGGGCAGTGATGGCAAAGTACAGGTTGCTTTCTCTGATGGGCTGCATCGTGTCCAGCCCTAGGCAACTGTCGTTCCACCCTTTAGCCAGGGTGACATTATCCCATGGTGCAAAAGCTTTACAAGTTCACAATAGGCCTCTGAAAACAGGAGGGATTATTAAATCATTTCAGGCAGCTTGGAGTAAACAATAAAAATTAAAACACAGGGGAACCTCTTGTAGTGGAGAACTAAGGTGTATTTATACTTCTGCTACTCATAATGCTGTAAAGTACAAGGCAAAGTTTAATATTTAAAATATATGTTCACATCAACCATGAAAGATTACTTTAGTTTCCTTGGGCGTCTCTTTCCCTCCCTAAAAATATGCTTGGATGTATGTGAGTGTGTGAGTTTTTTGTTTTAAGTGTTATCAGATACTACTGTTCCCTATATGAAGTTCACCACCAGTTATCAGTATATTCTTCTTTTGGCAGAAAGTATATTGATGGTTGTTGCATCACTGAAGCTTTGCCTTTTCATGTCCCCCCCCCCCCCAATAGTTTGCAAGCTTTGGGAAGTTTTAAGGAAACGGAACAGCAAGCATAAGGAAAATGGGACCAAATACAATATTTACTTTGTGGCATTTAGCACTTAGCAGAAGGACAAAATACTGTAAAAAGTAGTAAAATGATAAACAATTAATTAATGATTAAAGGAATGTTTGGTCAGAGAAAAAAACAAAAACTTTTCTGAAAGACTGGTAACCTTATTTGGACTTTTTCCTGAAAGAAGAAAAAATGGTATGATTTATGGGTTCGAAGATTTAAAAAGATGTGGATTAAGTGAGGGGCTGAAGGAATTTGTATAATAACTAAGAGGGAGGAGGGATTATACAATTGTAATTATCTCTTGAAGAGAGGTCGGAAGTCATTCCATTTCATAACTTTTTTTTTCTTTTCTTGCAGTTTTTTTCTTTTTTCCTTTTTTTCTTTAGATTTATCTTTTACTTTCTGTAAAATTCTCAATAAATTATACATTTTAAACAAGTAGTAAAATGATAAACAATTAATGATTAAAGGAACAATCACAACTATTCCTTTCAATTTTAAGGCAGCAGCTGCAAACAAGGAAATTTCACAGATAATGTAATGTTAATCTTAAGCTGAAATAAGCAAAATAATTTGTCGGCTTCTTAAATTCACATATAGATACTCTCCCTCTGTTGCTAGCTGAAAGATAGACAAATGTATAGCGTGTCTTGTATGCCATAAATTCAATTGGGGCTCTTACATTCTCATAACTACAGTTGATCTTCTTTGCCCAATATAGTCAGACTTACATGAGCTATATGGTATGAAAGTTTTCTCCTTTGTCTTCTGAAGATTATATACATGTATAGTTGTTTATTTACTGCTGCTTATATGCCACTCCAGGCCAAAAGGAATCTAAGCAGCTTACGTTCCTAAGAAATTTTTTAAAAAATCAATGAACAGTATAATAATTACAGTAATTTCAGCACCCAAGGAACCGCCAGATACACCAAAAAAACAAAAACAAAAACAGGAGGACTCACCACTCAAAACAATTCTTCTCCCAAGACACTCTGGCATGGGCACATTTTGATGGCTTTTCAAAATAACAGAGTGGACTAACTTAACTTTGGGAGAGAATGTTGTCAGAAGGAGGAGGACTGCTAATGTCCAATCTGTATAAACATGCAGTGAGGAATTGCACTCTCTTAAATTGGTGACAAACCAGAATATAAATAGAATGTTCATGCCATTTCAAGATCCCCGTTGTTTCTGTGCAAGTTGCTCAGAGTGTAGTTCATTAGAATGTGCTTTAGTTGCATAGAATATGCCAGTGATTCTGTTCAGCCACAGGTTAAAGCGGCGTTTCTCAACCTTGGCAACTTTAAATGGGTGGACTGCAACTCCCAGGATTCCCCAGCCAGCATGCTGGCTGGGGAATTCTGGGAGTTGAAGTCCACCCATCTTAAGGTTGCCAAGGTTGAGAAACGCTGGGTTAAAGCCTTAGTTCATTGTATTAAAAACAAGAACCACAAACGCTTCTCATCTTATCTCCAGGCTTAATGTGGCCAGAGAGAAAAAAGTTAGCACAAATGTTCCTTGCTAAGCTCTAAAGAAGGCTGATAGCCTTTTTCTTTTCTTTTCTTTTTTAAAAAAAGCTGCCTTAGGAATCATTAGTTATAACAGTATGAGAAGCTGCATGTATGTACTAATTAAGACTAACATAATTAAATTTCACTGCTTCTGATGCCTCTGAATTTTCTAGTTGTGCGTGGAAAAGGATTGCATGCTTAGATATTCCTGTATTTGTCCCTCCACAGTCACAATGAACGAAAAGTGACCTGCAAGCATCCAGTCACAGGACAGCCATCACAGGACAATTGCATATTTGTTGTGAATGAACAGTAAGTACATATGTGTGTGTGTGTTTATATTTATATGGTCAAAATTCAAAAGCAAATTGTTATTTTGCTCAGAGAATATTTATATAGTTGTTATTATATAGTTGTTACATAATATACAGTAGTTGTTAAGTATTACTGTACTATTACTTTAAAAATCCCAAAGTGGTTTGTAATAATGGTAAAAATATTTTAGAATAAGCCAACCCATTAAAAGATAAGTGTTGGGGAAGTTAATGGCTGGGAAAAGGTGACATTAAAAGGTGAATGCAAGTTTTAATAGCTATTTACTTTTGCTGTTCAATTGATGATCAGTTAATTATTCATATGTGATCAATTGACTGGGCAACTGGCTATTTATTATCTGATTGCAGTCAATATGTCCTTTGTAGATCTGTCTACATTTAAAATTGCATTATAATTTGATCTTGTAGCAAAAATAGGAGTGGGGATATCTTTGCTCCCCATCTTTACTTCATAATCCAATCACATGCATATATTCACAGGTTAGAAGTAGTTCATTGTTTCAAAAATTGCATGCAATGTGTATTTTGTACTTGGCCTAAGGCTTTTATTTCTACTAAATTCTTGCTTTACATTTGACTATTTTTTGGCCAAAAAGAACACTTTTCTGATAAATCTAAAAATCAAAGATACAATACAGAAACAACTATCAAATTATACTGTTTTCTACTGTTTTCTACTGCATTTTCTGCTCTTTGAGCATATTGGTACATTTTGCAGTATGTTCTTATAGAGCAAGTAAACCAGTTATGGCCATGTTCTTGAAATAGGCTGCACTGTGGGGGCAACATAAAGGGCAACATTTATTTAGTTCTGGTATGCCTTAGTGGGTGAAAAACCCAAGTTCCAGCACAAAGTTTTTGATGTTCCAACTTAGTTATTTTATTAGGTAATTAAAAGGGCATTGAGATGTTTTGCATCTTGTGAAATTAAAAGAGTACAATTGTCCCATATCATACGTCAGCCTTCCTTTCTTCCTCTATTTTCTGTGTCCATTTTGTTGATATCTCGGTATGTCCAAGTAATCACCAATCCATCCATCCATCTTAGACTGCAGTTTTCTTCACATTGTAGTTCTTAGTCTTGGAGTTTTCAGCCTCCGCAGTCTACCCTGTTCCTAGATCAGTTGGTTCTTCTGATGTTACTCCCCTTGCTTGATTTACCTCTGCTTTCTTGCTATACACATTGGGTTTCCTTGAATTTCCTTCTCAACTTCCTGGGACTTCCTGAATCCCCTTATTTGATAATTATAATTTACTAACATTGAACAAGATCAGATCTTGAAAAGGAGAAGCGTGGTTAAATTATACTCCCCCACCCTCAAAATGTGGCTATGACATCAAAGATGAGTTTTTGCTGCTTGAGGTGTAGAGGTGTACAGATCTGCCTTCCAAAGACTCCATAAAGAATGGACACCTCATCCAATTCATCACAGAGTTGGGCACATGTGATTCCTTAAGGTTAATTAGTTTCATTTCCATAGGTTTTCTAAACATGTGTTTATAACGGTATTAATTTAATAATTTGATGTTCAAATTTCAAGACCTCCCAGCTCTGCAACAACTCTGAGCGGCTTACCATGAGGTAATTTTTTTTAAAAAATAACATATATCAGAGACAAGAAGAAAACTAACCCATAATACGAAAAACTAAAAAATGCCTAAACCAAAAAACCAAAGGGGCTCAACCAGCCATCTTAGCCCAAGGCCTGGGAGAACAACCAGATTTTCAGCAATTTACTACAGTGGTTAGTCATTCAGTTCATATAAGCTGGTTATTCATAAAACTGGGCACACCAAACTTACGCATTATTGCCAGCCCCTTTGTTATTTTTCAGCACCCATAGGCCTGAGAAGTTTGCAGATATGCATTACCTGTTGAGGACCTACTCTAGGATTTTCCAGAGAGACATGTTTTACATAGCCATTGCTATTTTGCATCAACATTTGCTGGGAATCTGGACAAGTAACATATCCAGACTCTTATTAAAGACAATTAAAGGTGTTTTACCGGGACTCTTGAATACCTGACAGGTTCTGATGTAATTGAATATTCTGTTTTCAGGACTGCAGCAACTATGACTTCAGAAGAAAAGAAAGAGCGGCCATTAAACATGGCATCTGAAGCTGTGCACTATAATTTGACATCAGATTACACTGCACATCCAATGAGTCCTCTGGGCAGAGTAAGTTATTGTGTTCAATATACATTATTTATTAGTACAAAATTATTGAGCTAGTAAACCTTACATGACACAGAGGCACAATTATGTAGAAGTTGTAAGACAATCCATCTCAGTTTAGAAGTTAACAAAATTTAAACAGCATTTTAAGGTCCACAGGTCTGTTTATTGTTTTTTATAAAATGTTATGTATTGCTTTCCATGGGAAAAACTCTCAAGTGAAGTGCTAATAAAAATTAAGTTACAGTATGTGCGTGTATGTATGTATGTATATATGTGTGTGTGTGCCTATGTGTAAAATCCAGCATGAATAATAACAATGTATTATTCATGCTGGTTTTTAATAATAAATAACTTCATTATTAAAAGCCAATAAACAAACATTAGAACTATGAAGCAGTTCAGTTCCTGGGAATAGATGTATTTGGTTTAAGGAGCTGCAGGCAGGCCTCCCCGGAAGCACCTTTCTGCCTTCAGATCCAAAGCACTGCACAGCCTTAAGCAGGGTGGCTAAATGGACTCCTTTCTTATTTTAAAAAGTCACAGAGAACAGATAATCTTTTAATGGTTTTCTAAAAACCTATAATCATGACCCCGGTTAGTGGCCAATATAGTAGTTCTTATTAAAGAGGGTGTGAAAATGGCCTCGATGCAGCTGACTGCTGAGGCCTTGAGGTAGGAAAAAAGCCCTCTGGCACCACTTTCTGAGATGGAGCAGAACCACTCAGCAGATTTTGCTATCGTTCGCTGTGCTAAATTTTTGAGCTATTTATCCATATGGTAGAAGATGTCTGAAGAGGTTTTATCTGTTAAATTGCTAGTCTGAAGTTCAAGGTTCATTTTAAAAAAACAAAGGAGAAGGTCAAAGAAAAGGAACAAATTATCCAGTTCCTGGTTGGTTTTCCTCACTCATTTGTTATTACTATTTCTTTTTCAGCTGTAATTTTTGCTTGAGACATTAATTGCAGCCCTTTAAGAAACTTTGCCTTCCAAATTGACAGTGTTTTTCTGTTAAGTGTGGTCAAAGCCAAAAGTCATTTCGCTCTTCAACATGGGCGCACACATGCATGTATGCACACACTCAGTCCTCAGACATAAAAAGATGGGTGAACATTTTCATTCTGCCTACTCCTAGACAGGGCACAAAACAAACTGCGGTCCCTAAGCCAAAAGAGGTTGCCTATCCTTGTCCTACAGAATAAGCAGTCCATCTTCTTCCATTAATTTGTGTAAATTATCGTGCGTATTGCTAAATATTGAAAGCCTCCTTTACCTTTGTTCTTATTTCATTATCAAATTTCTCACCCTCCAAAGCATGAAAACTCTATACTGTGCTTCTGGATTTTTCTAAGCTGCAGAGAGAAGCAGCATACTAAAACATCCAGCCAAAGGAAGTGGTAGTAACTAAGAATGGTAAGGAGTCAGATTTGGAGAGAAAAGATCAACCTCAGAGAACCTTGAACAGAATATCCTGGCAAGAATATTAGCACTTTCTGATATAGCTTGAGGCTTCTCTACCATACCTTGCATAATTCAATTATTTTGAAGAATCAAGAACAACACATCAGTGTCAGGTTGGAGTGAGTACTTATCAATAGAGCTAGTGTAAAAGTGGCCCAGCTTGCTATTTAAGCCACACTGCATATTTAAAGCAATTTAACAGCTTCAGTGTTCTGTACAAAAATCTAATGTGTAACTGAAACAATTAAATGTTCTTTTGCTGTTATCCCAGTAACATTTTCTTCACTTTCAGCTGTTGTTTTCCCTTTACTGAATTTTAGACTACAATATCCCTGGAGCAGGAATGTGTATGCTTCTGATTTATAATGTGTGCCCTCCATACAGATGGAGTAATTATAATCTAATGACATTAGAGAGTCACTTTCATGGCTGAAAATGTCCACATGAGAATTATTAATACTTTTATTAAGCACACAAGTTTATTAGCACAAGTGCTTTCCTGTCAGCACATGCATCTTTTCTGGGCTGCATTAGGGAGATATTTGTTCTGATATGATAGTTTGATACAAACAAGTGAGGTATTTTAAGTCTTTTAAAGACACACTTTTGGAAGGAGTCAGTTTGTATGGCTGTTTATTTTTATATATTGTATTGCAAGTTGCTGCTTTTAGTAAAAACACATTGGCTTACATGGCTAAAAAAGTGTTATTGTTATCTTTTATTCTTTGGGAGTTGGGCGGTGTACAAATTAAATTATTATTATTATTGTTGGTTGCACAGTTAGCCAGATGTTTAGATGGGTTTGGCATTTTTATCCACCTTCCCAAGGACCTTCCCAAGGATAGGCAGAAGTTGTTGTTGTTGTTTGATGGTGTTAAAAGTATCGTCGCAGGATGGAAGCTGTTCCAAGTAAAGCTGCCTTTTGCAATTGACTGATGGTGATTTTGTCAAGGCTCGTGGTCTTCAAGTGGTGCGCCAGACATTTTGGAATTGCACCCAAGGCGCCTATAATTATTGGTACTATCTTTGCTTTCTTTTGCCATAGTCGTTCTACTTCTATTTGCAGGTCTTTATATTTTGTGATTTTCTCCAGTTCTTTCTCTTCTATTCTGCTGTCTCCAGGTATTGCAGTGTCCACGATGGAAGCTGTTCCAAGTAAAGCTGCCTTTTGCAATTGACTGATGGTGATTTTGTCAAGGCTCGTGGTCTTCAAGTGGTGCGCCAGACATTTTGGAATTGCACCCAAGGCGCCTATAATTATTGGTACTATCTTTGCTTTCTTTTGCCATAGTCGTTCTACTTCTATTTGCAGGTCTTTATATTTTGTGATTTTCTCCAGTTCTTTCTCTTCTCTTTTGCTGTCTCCAGGTATTGCAATGTCCACAATCCAGGCTTTTTATTACTATTATTATTATTATTAATAATAATA